AGCTGAATAGTAGCACTTCAGAGTTAGACCAAGACTTTTGAAGACTTGCATCCACTGCAAAAGCACAGGAATCTGAGAAGGCAAAGAGGAGGTCAAGTATTGCTCAATGTATATAGCATAATTTAAAAAAAACAAACATAAATAGCTTTGGCTTTTTACTTTAGGTGGAAGAAACACTTCTGATTCTATAAATCAGCAGAAAAAATGGATCTATTACTATAGATTTCTTTTCTTGTAGTCTCAAAGGCAGAGTGGACTATATTTATTTAGTTATGTCTATAATAAGTAGGGACTTCAGATATGCAAGTGAAGAGATATGGGGATCCTCACACTACTAAATTTACAACTTCAACAGAAGATGAACAGTGCAGGAAGGAGATGAGAAAAATAAAAGGTATAAAGATATATAAAGCTAGATAAAGCAAACATTAGAAAAGGGAAGTAACCTATCATCTAACAACAGCCAAGCCAGTAAGAGCCAGAACAACAGAAATTTAGATAATCAGATTTCTAAGCGCTGCTGCTGCATGTACGCAAGAGCTACTTACATGTTGTTTTGGAGGGCAAAGACAGGATGCAACAAAAACAACAATTCTGCTAATACGATTACCCCAACCAGGCAACGTTCAGGCCCAAGGAGGGCATAATCTTGGGTTGTTCATTAGCTAATATCTCAGATAATAGTACATCTCAAAATGATTTCCAAAACTGAGAAATACATGCCTAACAGAGAACCTTATCAGTCATACAGCACATGCTGACAGATAACCTGTAACTATCTACAAAAACCTGTAGTTAGATCTCATGGTACTTTCTGTTAATCAAAGTCAATATGCTAAACTCATAATTGAAAATCCGTATCCCCTTTTTATAGTAGGAATCTTAAAACAAAGTGCAGCAGAAATTCAGTGCCGTAACTATGCTGAGTTTCCCCAAGTACTGCTTTTTCTCAAAGCGCTTGATGTCAGACAACTATATTCATCTTCATCACGTTTTCCATCACGAGCCTGTTATTAGTCTAAAAATTAATTTTATTACTCTTCCTCTGGTACCAATAAAATCTCAGGGTCAAACTCTAGCTCTGAGCATTTGTACACAACTTTCACACCCATTTACTTCAAAGGTCATGCTGAGAATTTCAGTCTCTAATGACTTTTGATTTACCTACTAATTCTTAAACATAAGAAGCTCATGAGCAGAAATGCAGCCCAAAATACCTTAAGTATAACCATAACCACTCAGAAGATCTGAACTGGCTCAGTATGCATCTGACTCAAACCCTTCCTAGGATATTATTAAATATCCTCTGCCCCACAGCTTATGATAACAGGGGGAAGCGGGGTGGGGAGAGGTTTCCCCAGCGTTACTATTAATAGTAACCAAATTTACTGGTTATTTTGGTGTGCTCTTTATATATGTAATTTTCACATCTGGCTACTGACTCAATCACCGATTATTAGTGGTACAGCATTTCATTTATTTTGCGTGAGGACTTCCAAAATCTAAAATGTGCTTATCTATACGTAATAAATAAAAGGAAGTTAACAACCCTCATGCCTGCTGAAGCTCAAATCTTGCTACTGGTAGCATGGCCGCTAGACAGGTACTGCTATTGCTAAGATTTCAAATTTTTAAAGAATGGTAAAATGAATGCTTATTTAAGAAAAAAAAAAGGGGGGGGGGAATCAAAGAGTGTGAGCATGTCTGTGAAAGGCTGAAAGACAAGCAAGATACTGGTAATATGGAACTTTCAAAAGGGTCAAGCTAGCAAAAAATGATGCAAAAATAAATCCAAGAGCAAAGAATTAAGCAACATCAACATATATTCCAGCATATGATTTATTGTATTAAAAATTCTTATGAAAAAGTGTACATGTCAGTTACTTATGATGTATGCAATCCTAGATCAGGACTTTAAAACCCTTTCTGAAGGGAGAACTAGTACTTTTAACTCTTCTAGTTACCAGAGAGGAGAGTAGAAGTGAACTGTCTTCCTGTAGTTTTATTTCAGCATATCAGGGAGGATAAGGAGGTCTGGAACAATGGATTTAATACTACATAAAGAGAATTCTCAGGGCAGAGCAAGTTAAAGGAACTCCTGATAATCAGTATTCAATAATATCTGTATTTTTTCCAAAGAGATAATGATGACTAATCAACATTAAATGATAAACACACTTAATAAACACAAAGTCTTTCCAGTTGATGTTTCACGGTGTATTTGCACTGAAAAAAAATTCTTAATGCAAACCAACAGGTCAGGCTTTTAATAATAATAATAATAATACTAACAATAATAAAAAATTATAATACTTTGTATTTCATCTCATTGAATGTTAGTAAAGGCCGTTAATTAAACCTCAAAGACCCCTAATGATTTAAACAGTCATTTCATCATTGCTGAGGTACAGGCACTCTGGGTGAGCCACTGCAGTCAATTAGTGCAACAAATGCTTTGATGTTACAAAGCAGTTTTGCAAGACATGAACGTTACTCTGCAGGACAGAAGAGCTGTCAGTATGTGAATAAGGGAAAAAATTCCACAGGCTTTGACAATTAAGCTTGATTTCTCAAAATATGTTTATCTATTTTCTCTTGGCTTGTTATTACAATGCTCTGAAATCTACACGAGAAAAGAATCTTGGTAGTATCCTTTTCTAGACTCACAGGTAGTGAAGAGATGTCAAGACTTTAAATTTCTGGTTTTGTCTGTTACCATTTTAAGCCTTATTTTAATAGAATACAGTAACAGATTTCTGTGGCATTGTAAAGTCAGCTGGAAACACAAATTTTGATGAACTCTCTGGAACAAACTGGTCTGGAGACTCAATTTTCGTATGAGTCATATGCACTTGACCAATTAAGATTTGCAAGAGATTATGGTAACACTGTTGGTTTGTTGTTGGTTTTTCCATCTAAACTCCCTATAGCAAACTGAAGAAGCACCAGTAACATTGGTTTTGAAACACAGTATTAGAATACAGGAAGTACAAGCCCTAACAGAATTCAGTGAAACTGCAAAAAGTGACAAGTCACAACTGGGAATTCTCTTGCTGGCTCCTGGCGGCATCACCACAATGGGAACACCTAGTCGAACCCTTGACTGTTTTCATTACAGTATTTCTAAACTGTATATTTAATAGCAATACTCCAAGGTGCCAGACACCATTTTGCACCACAAGTTTCTCTACTTTTTGTATTGTAAAATCAACTAAAATCTGGTAATTTCTGGGAATATAAGCTGATCACATTTCAACGTCTAACTGTAATTTGCAGAGTTTGAAAGTGTAACAGTAGGGCTGGTTTGCAGTTTTCATCTTTAAAACTACCTACACATCTACACTCACAGAGTGGTTGAAGTTGCAAAGGAACCTCTGGAGGTCATCTGGTCTAACCCGCCTGCTCAAGCAGGGCCACCTACAGCCAGTTTCCCAGGAAAACATCCAGAGGGCTTTTGAGTATCTCCAAGGAAGATTTCACAAACTCTCTGGGCCACCTGTGCCAGTGCTCAGTCACTGTCACAGTAAAAAACTGTTTCCTGATGTTGAGGGAACGGCCCATGTTTCTGTTTGTGCCCATCCCCTCTGGTCCTGTCACAGAGCATCACTGAAAAGAGCCTGGCTCTGCCCTCTTTGCACCTTCCCTTCAGGTATTTACATACGTGATTAAGATCCCCAATTCACACCTTGCAAATGTTCTACGAAAATACCATCCTCAATTTCTCAGAAGTGATTCTAAAATCTGACTTAGAGAACTATCCAGCACCTGCTATATAATAATCATCTGGACAGAGAAAATTTTGCTTGTCTTAAAATACTCTTAGCCATATTAGAACTTGTTGATATTCTTAATGTATGCTGATAAACATTCTAAGAATCATAAAAAGACCACAAATAACCTTTTATGTAAACTACTGAAACACAGATTAAAATGCTAGATGAACATAAAAAAGGTGTGACCTAATTTTTTTGTTTATAGAAATAAGAATTTACAAGGTAAAGTGAAACCATAAATTAACACAGAAAAAAAAAAGTCAGCTTCTGTAAATCACATCTTAATTCTCAGCCTACCTCCTTCTCTAATGCTATCACCAGCAGCCATAGATGTTGACAACTTCCTAATTTTAGATTAAACAATTTAAACAAAACTAAAGTGAGAATTTACCACAATTACTGGTTTTAAACACCAAAGTGTAACCATCAAAACAAAGACTTAACCAACAAAATAAAGACTTATATCTTCCAAATTGGAATGCATAGCAAATTTATTCCTACTATCACTTCTCCCAGTACAAAACCAAATCTTCGTAGAACATATTCTGCTTTAAATTTACAGTAAGAAACAAAAGGCAAGCTCAAAAGAAGATATTTTTTCTTCCCCCTGCACATTAGTAACACTGTTTTCTTTGTAAATCTGCTTCCTTATAAGCAACAGCCTAAAGAACCTACCACAAAGCTCCAGTTTCTTAAGAGCTCATCAATATTGACTTAACTGACATATTACAATTGTATGGCTTTCCCTTCACATATCAAAGATGTCAACAAAGAGTCAAGTCTAAAAGCACGTATGGAAACTTCAAAGCTAGACAAACACTGTTCCTATTCAAGTTACTGAAAGGCATGAAAATAGCCTACTTCAACTCTTGCCAATTCTGTCACGGTCACTTACAACCATAATTTTCAGGTTTTGTGCAAGAGATGGTTGTATTTATAAAAAAAAAAAAAAAAAGAGAGAGAGAGAATGGAAAGACTGCCACATATCGAAGATGGAGTCACAAGCCGATGAGATGTGAAGCAGGACTAATCTGCCCACAGAGCAAACAATCACTGACAGCACAGGAACCAGCCAGAACTGAATTCTCCTCCTCCAAAAGGCATCAGGCTGGCAAAACAAAGCAATGCGATAATTAACAAGCCTTTACATCTCCGCTTCAAATCCGAACAGCAAGTCTCACGCGTCCAGATATGCAAACAAGTAACTCAAACGTAAATTCACCCTACCTCGTTTATGCAACTCCCTGAGCGGAATGCCGTCTCCTCCCCCGCCATCGTAGGGCAGATACGGATCAGAAGAGACATCCATGGATGTGACGAACCCCAAGCCCGTCTGCCGGCTCAGAAGGGCCGCGGCATTTCTTACACAAGGGCGGCCGCGGGGGACGCTGCCATGTTTGACCAGGATCCGGCCTGCGCGCCGCC